ATAAGAAGAAGGAGAAACGGCCTCGTCTACCTCAGAATCATCCAACTCACCAAGGGTGGGCCGTCGACGGCGGAGGGAAATGTTATCCATAGTATCCCCTAAGTTGGAAGAAGCGGCGCGGGCGGTGAAAACAATGGTGGGGACAGTCTCGCCGGGATGAAGGATTGAAAGGGGAACGGCCTCAAGAGCGGAGGGCAAAATCTGAACTGAACCAGAGGAAGTGGTCGAAGAAAGAGATGGAGGTACAGGATCTGAAAAAAGAAAACAAAAACAAAAACGAAATCAAGAAACTTTCAAGGAAGGTGAAGTTTTAAAGGAAAATTAATTGAAACTAGGGCTTTACGAAGAGGGTAATTTCGAGAAATTAGAAAAGGAGAGCAAGGATTTCAGAAAATTTTCGAAGGGGAAGAGCGAAATTCACAGGTGACTGACAAGCGAACACCGACACCCAATATATAAATTCGAAATATTCAATCAGCACACTTCAAACACCCAATTCAAGAAACTCAAAGTGAAAAATCCCACGCACAGGAAGCGTAAAATTAGATGAGAAGCGACTTACTCATGATTGCAGAGGAGGGATTTGGAAGAACTCGAGGATTGCAGGAGAAATCGCCAAAGCAAACTAGGGTTCTTGCAAAAGGGGTGTTTGAACACGGGGGAATTCGAAATTGCAAAGGTGGAAAAACTGAGGAAATTCCCTAAGTATCGAATTTATACTTAGAAAATCAAAGGGTTGGAGGAGCAGGACCGTAGGATTAAAACTAGATCTAACGGAAGGGAGCATTAATTAATACGATACTCAAAATGGGCACGTTATGCGAGGAGGCACTATCATTAAAGTAACTGACAGATGCGACAGACGCGACGCGTGGCAGAAAAGTAGGCGCGACAGAAAGGACTTGAAACAGAAGACTTTATTTCTAGCAATTAATGAGTAATTATTTGAAAACATGAGCGGAAAACTTATCGGCTGGTCGATATCGGATGACGAGCCAGCCAGGAGGTCGATAAACACCAATTCACTCTTAGATCGAGTCATTCAGACTCGACCAGAGTGGGGGGACTAGATGATATGGGATATTATATACACGAGGCTAAACCGGTATGCTCAGCCGGTCGAGAAGGTCAAACCAAGAGGAAGCCAAGTCAAAAGGCGGGAGGATCGATCATTCAGATAATCGACCAGGCAGGTAGTCGACTAATCTATCGCTCGACCAGACAAGCGATCGAGCAACCTATTCGACCTCATCAGGTCGATCGTATTGAGGACCCAACAGTCGACCTAGTCACAGGCGCGTGTGAGAACCTCTAACCGAATCTCAGGAGAATATTTACCCCATGTGCAGGGGGACACGTGTCGAGAATGTGTTGGTGGATATCGATAACCACCTCTGACAGCTCCCTAACGCCCCCGCGCAACCTCTGACATGCGCGCGGTGTGTCGGTGTACGGACGGACAGCTTGGGGCAGCCAGCTCATCTTATCCGGGCAGCTATTAGGGCAGGTATCTCACCCCTATATAAAGGGGGTGAGCCTTTTTCCATGAGGACATTCTATTCATTCTATTCATTCTTCACTTCAGTATACCCATACACATACTGACTTAAGCATCGGAGGCTCTTCACTGGACAGTGGACACAACCCCCGGTGTGGGAGTTACTTGCAGGTTTCCGGCGTTCTACAGGCGAGGACAAAGATCGATCCGTTCCAAACCGGACTAGGACGCTCACACTTGCATTACTCACCATATTTGATCTATGTCATTGAGTGTACTAGTATGGTGATTTCTGTGGTTTAACCCTGTTTTGTAATGTGGTGAAAGCCGCAGTAGTTCATTACTAGTATTTGAGATGGACCATATTGTTTAAGGTAGTCTGGAGATGAATATCATAAAGTTGCGCAACTAAATAATTAGTATAATTGCTCTGGAAATAATATGTAGCCCAAGTGGGAGATTGTTAGGAAATTTTTAATTTCCTATGTGTAATCTAATCATGGGCAACATATTAGCTATTCAATTTAACTAATGGACTTAATTAAGTGATCAAAATAAAGTAGATTTCATGAGCTACGCAAATTGATATGGGCTAATTGGGTGGATACCTAATATTATTAAGGGTAGGTAATGGGTGGCCTACCCTAGTAGTATATAACGACCCTCTTGGTTATGGTCCCCAATAAATCAAATCAAACATAGTTCTCTTTTCTCCCTATCGGAATTGAGAACGACGGTCCCATATGAGGAATAAGGTGATTTAGTGGAGGAAGGCCATAAAACCAACACCGTTCGTGATCAAGGATGTGTTCGGGATCCAAGTCATGCTCCATGGTGACCGGATCTATAAATCTACCTAAGGTACGCTTCCACTATCTAGTTTGATTCTATTATTTGATATGAATGCTCCTGGGATAACGCGATAGTTTTCGCATTAGGCTAATTCCAACAGGTTTGATTTGTTTTATTGGGGACCATAACCAAAAGGGTTTTATATACTACTAGAGTAAGCCAGCCATTATCACCTAACCCTAATAATATTAGGTATTCACCCAATTATTCCATATCACATAGTCCATTGACTCAACTTTATTTAGATCACTTAATTGAGTTCATTAGTTAAAGTGAATAACTAATATAATGGTATATAATATATTGTCCATAATTAGATTACATATAAAATTAAATATTTCCTTATAACAGACAACTCATGCAACTTTGTTATGTTTTATTATATTATATTGTACAATATATGCACGTCGAATCCAATATAATATAAATAATTTTTTTTTTACAAAATATAGTAAAATATAAAAGATAACTGAATAATGTTTTTAAAATTTATAAGTAAATATAATTCAAAAGATACACTTGATGAGACGTTATCTTCATTTCTGGCAATAACACACCATGTTTATGTGCATATTTTAGGTCACACGATCTACCTACCTTGCTAATTTTCAGCAGATTTGACACGTTTCCGGTGAAAAGAAAGTGTAATTCAATAAAAAGACATTCTCCTAATAAATATCTCCTCTTTATTGTTATACTCTAAACTCACCCAACCCTAGTTTCTTTTGACTTCAAGTATGTGTACAATTTTTCTTTGATTTTGTTTCGCATTTATATAATTTTTCAGCTATTGTTCTTAATCACAATTATCTAAGTCTCATACAATTACTGTAATAATTAAGAAAAGTGTGCCAAATTTCAGTTCTTAATAAATATATAAATTAAAAAATATATCAAAATTAAATAATACAATTTGAAAAATCAAAAGCAATAAAGACGAATTGTTGTTCTTTACAGCAAAACGAATACGCTATATAATGTGTTGCGAATTTAAGCATTTTGTCCCAAAAGATCAATTTGAGACATTTTGCATTCACAAACTTGGATAGACGATGTAAGAAACTGGGGGGAAAAGGGTGTGGTCCCACTCATATTAAGCGAACCATGAGAGGGAAAAGCCCATATGAAGCTCAAATAGAGTTCTATCCCAAAACCAATTGGTGGAAGGAGGAGTAGTCCATTAGACTTATAAGGTGAGTCTATTTTTCATGTATGAACGATGTGGGACAACTCACAAGTGATATTCTAACACGCCCCCTCACTTGTGAGTCAGCTGGAAGCCCAAGCCCAACTGGGTGCCCCAATTCGCCTACTAGAAGTAGACTCCCATAAACGGATACGTGGGGAAGAAGACTCCAATAAACAGATGCGAGAAGCCCAAGCCCAACTGGATGCCCCAAGCCTACTAGAAGTAGACTCCCATAAACGTGTACGTGGGAAAACAGACTCCCATAAACGGGTACGTCATCGCACGGTCCCAATAGAACCGGCTCCGATACCATGTAAGAAACTGGTGGAAAATCGTGCAGTCCCACTAACATGAAGCGCACCATGAGAGGGAAAAGCCCATATGAAGCCCAAATGAGGTTCCATCCCAAAACCAATTGGTGGAAGGCGGAGTAGCCCATTAGACTTATAAGATGGGTCTATTTTCCATGTATGAACGATGTGAGACAACTCACAAGTGATATTCTAACAGACGAGAAGGGCCCACAAATTTATAGATGTGCTTCCTATGACTAGGGCTACAAACGCGTCGAACGGCTCACGAGCCGTTCGCGGGCGCTCGAGTCAAAGCTCGACTCGAGCACGAACACGAGTCGAGCTCGAGCTCACATTTTGCATTGTGATATATATTAAATTATTAAAATACCCCTTATATATATTAAAATAGTATAACACAAGTGCTTAATGTAGACGTGGCCAGGTGCCGGGTCCGGGCCCGGCCCGGCCCGGCCCGCCGGGCC